GTGTCGAATCGTACTGTGGTCAAACGGAACACGCCCACCTAAACCATTGCCGCGGGGCTCAAGACCTTATGGTCCAAAGCCTCGCGGAACTAAACGGGGCGATCGCAGTTGTGGCCAAGCCGTACAATGTCCTTGACCACCCGTCGTGGTTGGGGTTGGAAGACGGCTCGGTCGCAGCATACTTCCGCAGAGGAGGTGATTGCGAGTTTTCGGTTCTCTCTCCTTTGGAGAGAGGCCAAGTGTTTGTTGTAATCCAATGGAGAAAACTAACGGTGATAGGGGTTTACTTCTCGCCGTCGAGGACCCTCGAGGAACTGGACGGGTTCTTGGACGAGCTGGGCCGGGTCGTTCGCCGGCACCAGACTTGTCCAATGCTGGTCCTGGGGAACTTTAACTCCAAATGTACGGCTTGGGGTTCCCCCAGGACCGACTCAAAGGGTGAGGCTTTAGAGGCCTTTGCGGCGGTTAGCGGGCTTGTAGTTCTTAACTAAGGCTCACTGCACACGTGCGTCCGGCGCAGCGGGGAGTCCGTAGTGGACGTAACCCTTGCCTCCCTGTCGGCTGCACGCCGTATGTCCAGATGGCGGGTCAGGAATGACATGGAGACTTTGTCTGACTATAGATATATTACTATAAAAGTCTCCGTGCTCCCTGAGCTCCCTGACCAATTCCGAAGCCGCCCCTTGACAAGAAGACCTCCACCCCAAGGGTGAATCTTGCGTAAGCTGGACCCAAAAATCCTGTCCGCCGCTGTTCAGGCCGCGGCTTGGCCGGTTCTTCCGGCTGAGTCGCGCGACTTCCGGACGGAAGTTCGGTGGCTTGGCAAGACGCAGGTTATGGTATGCAACACCGCGATGCCGCGTACTCGCGGGCCGCCGAACCGGAGGTCGGTGTACTGGTGGACTGGCGAAATAACTGACTTCAGGACGGCGTGCGCCAAATCCAGAGACCAGTACACCCATGCCCTCCGCCACAAGGATGTGACGGCAGTGGCAAAAGCAACGGCGGCGTACAAAGGATATCGTCAAGCACGAAAAGCCCTTCGTACTGCTATAAGCCAGGCCAAGTCCAGGGCGTGGAAAAAGCTCCTCGAGACTCTCGACGCTAATGCGCCCATACAAGCTTGTTATGGGTAAGCTTCGCCCGTGGGCCCTCCCGATCACGGAGAGTCTTGACCCCCAGCGTCTGGAGAGAGTCGTTACCTTGTTCTTTCCTGATGGGAGGAATGAGTGGCCCTCTCCGGAGCCGGAGTCGGACCCAGTTGAGTGGTCAGACGAGCTGGAGGAAAAGCTGCGCTGGGCCGTCCGTCGAATGACACAAAAGAGCACTGCTCCTGGTTCTGACGGCGTGCCCGGCAGAGTTCTGGATCTGGCTTTTGGACAAGGTCCCTTGGAAGCTTGTTTCAAGCATATTCTCACCGACTGTCTAAGGACAGGGTGGTTTCCCCCAGAATGGAAGCAAGCCAAGCTTATCCTCCTCTGGAAGAAGGGTCGGCCTGCGGACTCACCGTCCGCATATCGGCTGATCTCTCTTCTGGATGAAGCGGGAAAGTTATTGAAGCGAGTTGTCGCCGCCCGCCTTACCAGTCATCTGTCGTAGATTAGTCCCGACCTGGCCGATTGCCAGTTCGGGTTTCGTGAGGGACAATCAACGGTGAACGCAATCTACCGTCTCAGGTCCCTCACGGACGAGTCGGTCAGGCAGGGGAGGTGGCGTTGGCGGTGTCCTTAGACATTTCCAACGCCTTTAACTTCTTCCCCTGGGACAGCATAGGGCGGACGCTAGAACATCACGGCGTTTTGCCCTATCTGAGCAGGATCCTCGGAGACTATTTCCGCGACAGAGGAATAGGATATACCGACCGGTACGGATCATTGCACAGGAGAGAGATGTGCCGCGGGGTCTGTCTTGGGCTCCTTGTTGTGGGACCTCGGGTACGACGCGGTGATCCGGGCCAGATTCCCTTGTGGCGCGAAAACTATCTGCTATGCAGACGACACCCTCGTGGTGGTCACGGGGGACAACTGGAGGTGGACAAGGATACTGGCGCAAGAGAGCACGCGCTATGTCGTCGGCAGAATTGAGAGGCTAGGTCTCAAGGTGGCGATTTACTAGACGAAAGCCATGCAGTTTAATGGCCTTCGTCGCGACCAGCCGCCGGAACTCAGCCTCAAGATAGGTGAGGCAAGGGTCAAGGTACAACTTTTAAGTACCTCGGTCTTCACCTTGATTATAAATGGCGCTTTGATAAGCATTTCGCTTGTCTGGCCCCTAAAGTCGGAAGAGTCGCCAATAGTCTGGCAAGACTTCTGCCGAACCTTGGGGGCCCGTGAGAGAAAGTCCGCCGTCTCTTCATAAACGTGGTCCACGCGGTGGCCCTCTATGGGTCACCACTGTGAGCGGAGGCCGCGGCAGGGGCGGGCTCGCGGAGCAAATTCAACTTGCTCCGCAGAGCCCAGAGACGGATAACCCTCCGCGTAATCCGCGGCTTCCGCGACGTGGCCGCGGAAACGGCGGGCGTGTTGGTGGGGATCTCTCCTCTGGCCCTCCTCGCGTAGATGTACTCGGCGAAGTATTCTCGCCGAGTCAAGTTGCTGCGGGAGGGCGTGGAAGGAGACGCACTCCGGAAGGCTCTCGCCAACTCGGAGCGCCAAGCCCGGAAACAGTTTCTTTGGAGCTGGAAGGAGCAACTGGGCACGCCACGTGCGATGGCCCAAGGGGTTGTCCGGGTCGTCCGGCCTCATCTCCGATCGTGGTTGGTGAGAGGGGCCGGACGCCTCACCTATAGAGTGACACAGGTGCTTACCGGGCACGGTTGCTTCGGTGAGTACCTGTGTCGCATAGGGAAAGAGCCAACGACACGGTGTCACCACTGTAGAGCGGCCAAGGATACGGTGGACCACACTGTGGCAGAGTGCCTAGAGTGGTCCGGTAACCGCCGTGACCTGGTCGTCCAAATAGGGAACGACCTCTCCCTGGAGGGCCTGTTACGGACTGTGGCCTCCGGGGATAAGAACTTATGGGAGGCCGTGGTCTCCTTCTGCTCCGCTGTTATAAAGCAGAAGGAGGCCGCGGAGAGGAAAAAGGAAAGAGCCTCTCTCCCTCAGGTGGGACCTCCGGGGCGCGTGCGGGCGAGGTGCCGAGTCGCCCCCACCTCCCGCGCGCGTTGCTGGGGTCCCGGTGGCCTCTCCTGACAACGGACTCTTCCCCGCTTTTAGTAGCGGAGAGGGGGGCCGGGGCGGCAGTTGTTGAGGGAGCTGGCTCCCTCGTCAGCCTGTCGCCCCGGCGGGCCAAACTTTCGGACATGAGTTGGTTTTGCGGCAGTCTCCCCGGGTAAACTCGTCACCCGGAGAAGAGATTACCTGCTGCCGAAAACGTGACGGATCAAGGTGGGAGCCTTCACCGTTTTGCACGCGTCAACAGCGATAGCACGGCGCGGCGGCGTGTGTCCTGTTTGCGCCGCTAAGCCAGAGATGACGCGGGAAGAAGAACAGCAAGTTCTTTTCGACGAGAACGGAGGCTCGAGGGAAGATCCGCGACGAGTCCTTAATCAGAGGTACTGTGTCCTCCCTGAGACGAGCGAGGCAAGCAGACCATGGGGGTTTTAGTGGGTATACCTTCCTCGACTTGTGGACCGGGGAGGGAAGTCACACATAACCCCGCTCCCTCCCCCAGGGTGCGGAGTAGCCGTAAAGGATTTTCTCCATGTAAAAAAAAAGTAATAAATATATATTTGGTCATCAGAGCCGTTCGCTAGGTGTTGTGCGGAAATTATACGTGATAAATATATTGTTGCGAGATGCGGCGCGTGTCGTCCACGCGGTATAAGATGTTCGTCAAACGATCGATCGATATAGAGGCTTGTGTTCGGGTAGCAACGGGGTTTGTTTACGGCGAAGTTCAAAGAAGAGTGAGCCGCCGGATTTGGAATCGTCGACAAGCTGGATCATTGGCTCGAGATTTCTTTACGTTTTCCGTGGCCTTTTGTAACGCGTTCTCTAATAAAACTTATGTGTGTTATACGCGGTGTTCTCTTTTCTTTCCGCGGAGCGCAGTAATTCGGCAGTGACGCAAATAAACGCTGCCGTGAGCGCAACATTTGGGGGCTCGTCCGGGATCTGAGAGTTTGAGCTAGAGACAACGACGAAAATGGCTCTTGTTCACTCGCCGCGAAAAACGCGTAACCAGACTGCGAATGAAGCGGGCGAAGCGCCGGCGGCGTCAGCGACGGCGGCGGAAGGAGAGACTTTGCGTGCGATCTTGGAGGAGCTGAAACGACTCCGGGAGGAGCGGCGACAAGAGAAGGAGGAGATGCGTCGTCTGCAGGCTTGCGTTAGGCAGGAAACATCAGGCGAGTCGTCTTCTAGTTTGTTGCCCGGTCGGGCGGGCGAATTAGTCAAAATGAAAATTAAGCCCGACGTGTTCGATGGGAGCGTGCCGTGGCGTGAATTTTTTGTGCAATTCAAACTGGTTGCTCGTGCGAACGGGTGAGACGACGCGGCAAAAGCCACGGTTCTTGCCACTAGTTTGAGAGAGGGGGCGCGCTCGATTTTGGAAGGATTAGAAGAAAATTTTAGTTTTTAAGAGATTCGCGCGAAATTAGAATTGCGGTACGGGAAGCGTGGAATTCAAAATTATTATATGCAATTTACAAATTAGAAACAGAAAAGCGAAGAAGATTTTGCTGCATTTGGGGCAGATTTGGAGCGATTGGCCAGTCTTGCTTACCCGGAATGCTCCTACGAAGTCCGGGACAAAATTGCTTGTGCGCAATTCATTGTTGCGCACTCTGATAGATTCGTAAAGCGGACGCTTCAATTAAAAAATGTTTCTTTGTTACGAGTCGCGGTTGAGCCGGCAAGGGCGGTAAAAGTTATTCAGGAAGGTAGCTTTGAAGGGGGAGAAGATAAGGGGCGAGACGAGAAGGATTTTAAACGGTCTTTGTATGGAAATTGGAAAAGAAGAAAGGCCGAAGACAGGTGTGAGGAGGGAGAGAAGGCTGTGACTAAAAAGAACGGCGGGGAAAGGGAATGCTGGAAGTGCGGAAAGAAGGGGCACTTTTGCTTTGAGTGTCCGGCTAATTTGTTGGGTAACAAGACTTAGTCGAGCTTCCGGTGGTGGGCTTGGCTGTGAGGTGGAACACCCCGGAGAAGTTGGTTTCTGTCAAAGTTAATAATAAAAAAAATAATTTATTTGTTTCTTCTGGTTTGCTAAACGGAAAACCGTGTTGTTTTAAATTTGACACGGGCTCCGATGTGTCTATCGTAAATTCTAATTTAGTAGGGAAGTCGCAATGTCAAAGGTTGTCGGGAAAGCCAAGATTGAGATATCCTACCGGTGAGGAAGTTCCGGTTCAGTTAGAATGTGTGGCTCGAGTGGTTGTAGGGGGACATTCTTTAATTATGCCTTTTTACGTGGCGAATATACTTGATGAATGTATTCTAGGGTTGGATTTCTTCAGGAAGACAGGTGTGAGCAGGGCGTTGGAGTCGCTCTTTGTTGCTCCCTCGAATGAGTCGAGAATGTCTTGTTGTCGGGTGTGTGACGCTTCCGGAGAAATTCCGCCTAATCTAAACGATTTTTATAAGCGGAAATTTGTTGATCTGAATGAAGTGCAGAGAGATATTTTTGCTAAGTTTGTGATCGAATTTGAGGATATCTTCTGTGATCAGATCGTGGCTGGGAACTGTGATGTTCTGCAGCATGAGATAAATCTTCAGGATCTACGCCCGATAAAGCAAGCTCCGAGGAGGATCCCGGTAGGAATGCGGGCTGAGGTGGAAAGGATTCTTCAAGAAATGAAGGATCAGGGAGTCATTGAAGAGTCTTTTGGCCCGTGGGTTTCTCCGGCGGTTATTGTAAAAAAAGGACGGTTCTTTGAGGTTTTGTGTGGATTATTGCAAATTAAATGAGGGTTACGATCAAGGATTCTCTTCCTCTTCTTAGAGTAGATGATCTTCTAGATCCGGTGTCCGGGAACGACTGGTCCTCCACTCTGGATATGAAAAGTGGGTACTGGCAATTGAAGATTCGGCCAGAGGATAGGGAAAAAACTTTTTTTTCGGTAGGCAATGGGCTGTGGCAATTCACGGTAATGCCTTTTGGCTTGTGCAATGCTCCGGCCACGTTTGAGCGTTCGATGGAGCGGGTTCTCCAGCAGTTGATGACTAAGATTTGTTTGGTTTATCTAGATGACATTGTTGTGTTCGGTAAATCTTTTGAGGAGAAAGTAACTAATTTGAAGAAAGTTTTTCTAAGACTCAGGGCGGCTACTTTGAAACTTAATTGTCTGGACTGAGCAATGTCAGGAGGCGTTTGCAAATCTTAAGCAAACGTTGTCATCTCTTCCTGTACTCTCTTTTCTTCTTGAAAAAGGAGAGTTAATTCTGGACACTGATGCTTCTGGCCATGGTGTTGGCGCGGTTTTATCGCAGGTTCAGCGGGGGACGGAGAAGGTCATCGCTTATTATTGTCGGGTATTGTATAAGGCTGAGAGGAGTTATTGTGTTACTCGGCAAGAGGTATTGCTTATGGTTGATTCGATAATATCTTTTCATCACTATCTATATGAGCGGAAATTTCGGGTTCGAACTGATTATGCATCTCTTAGATAGGTGATGTTTTTTAAGGATTTGGAGAGTCAGTTAGCTCGTTGGGCGGAAAGACTTCAGCAATATGACTTTGAGATAGTTCATTGGAGTGGTCGAGCGCATAGGAACGCGGATGGGCTTTCTAGGCGACCTTGTGAGGAGTCTTGCTGCAAATATTGTTCTAAGGTTGAGGTCAGAAACGCTTTGAAGCAGGAGGAACGGGTAGCTCGGATAGTTTTTAAAAAGTTTACGTCTGAGGAATGGCGAAAAGATCACTTGGAAAATCAAGCCGTCTCGATTATTTTACAAGGAAAAGAAAAAGTTTGTCGTCTCTTTTAGAAAGAGGTGTCCGCTAGAGGCCCTTTTTCGAGGATCTATTGGTCTCATTGGGACGCTTTAGTTGTTTTGGATGGAGTTCTGCATAAGAGGTGTGTAGCTCCGAATTTAAAGTCAAGTTTTCTTCAAGTTATTGTTCCTCGAAAGAGAGTTGAGCGAATTTGAGAAGAAGCTTATGATGCCCCTTCT